TACTTCTTTTTATTTTTTTGCAACTTAATTTCATAACAATATCTGTCATCCAGAAAATTTTTAAGTTATTACTTTGCATACCTGGTCACCAGTGCCCATTGGGCAAGAAAGTATTTCATTCTAATTTGAAGTAAATCAAAGTCCATCTAGTTAGTTACAACTTTGGCATTGTATTTCTTAGATTTATATTTCTTGTAAAATGTATTTCACAAAATGCATATGTAGATAATTATTCTGACTGAATTATTCTGATCTGTTGCGTCTGTTTGGACTCATAGTGACTATATGTAGGGTTTCCAAAGTTGTAATTCTTTGTGAGAGAAGAAAGACTCATCTTTCTCCCGGAAGCAGCTGGTGGGCTCAAACCTCTGACCTTTTAGTTTACAGTCTGGTGCTTACTTCACAGAGCTACTGGTCTCTCAGCTATTCTCCTTAAAATAACAAGCAAATAACCATTACCTTAAAAAAAATAATAAAGGTGTTTAGAAGCCTTCTTACCTGATTTAACACATTTACCTGTTTATATATCCTTTATAAATGAAAATAGAAGTTGTGCACTTTTATAAACATGTCTACTTTCATGAGTGTGGACACTTTATATTTTATTAACTTTAAGATTAATATCCAGTAGTAATCTTTACTTCTGAAAGTATTCAGTATCAGAGTTTAAGAGCTCTTCATCTGTCTTTGTTTCTCCAGAATGCTAGCATAGGAAAACTCAAAGGTACTCCTAAATACTGCGGCCATGTGACCATGTGACACTAAGAAGGAGAACACGAGGAATGAATATGTGCACATGCCTTTGGACTTACTGCTGTAGCTAAGTGCTGTTGAGTAGGTTCCAACTCATAGGGACCCTGGATCGGGTTTCCAAGGAGCAGCAAAAAGTCTTATCTTCCCTTTGTTGAGATAGATCCTCAGTGGTCCCTGTTTCTGGTTTTAAATTTCGTTTTAGGGAAGTCCATTTAGGCCATCAATGCATTTCTCCTTTGTGTGTGTGTGTGTGTGTGTTTAATGCATAATTTTTCATCTCCTAGTAATTATAGGAAAGGAGCTCTGGTAGCGTAGTGGTTTCGAATCGGGCTGCTAATCTCACGGTCAGCAGTTTGAAGCTACCAGCTGTTCCGTGGGAGAACGATGAGACTTTCTGCTCCCGTAAAGATTTATAGTCTCGGAAACCCTGTGCAGGGTCGCTCTGAGTCAGTACCAACTCCATGGCACATAACAACAACAACAGTAATTATAGAGATTTTGTGAAAAGTCAAAGATAAATGTCATCTGGCCAATGTATATTTAAAAGACAATGAGCATTTCTTACTCACTACTCTACAGAGCTCTACTTTTTTTTTTTCAATTGTTTTTATTGATGAGACAATACAGAACAAAATAAAGAAAGTGTACAATTTCTACAGATACAATTCAGTCACACTGAATTTATTCTTCCAGTTGTGAAACTATTCTCATCCTCCTTTTGTGAGTTGTTCCTCTTCTAATAATCTAAACTCACTCTCCTCTAAATGTCCCATCAAATCTTACAAGTGGCTGTTGTCGTTTTGATCCTATTTGGTGTTGGTTATGTGTCGTGGATTCGATTCTGACTCATAGCTACCTGTAATGGGTTTCTGAGGCTGTACATCTTTATGGGAGCCGAAAGCCTTATCTGTCTCCTGCAGAACTACTGGTAGTTTCGAACTGCTGACCCTGAGGTTAGCAGCCCTCCTCAACCACTATGATCCCAGGGCTTCTTTTGATCCCAGGTAGATTGTTCTTAAAAGAGCACAGTGCTCAAGGCAGACATCCTTTACTGGTTAAGGTAACCAATGTTTTGGTTTTAAGACAACTTCAGGGTAATGTTATGGTTTAAGATTTGAAGATTATTTCAGGGCAATAGTCAGAGGTCCATGTAGCCTTTATGACTCCATTAAGTCTGGAGTCCATAATAATTTTTCTCCTTATGATCAAGATTCTTTTATAGAATATTGGATCAAAATATTCAGTAGTGGTGACTGAGCACTGTCTAGTTCTTATGGTCTCTTGGCAAAGAATACAGTTGTTCATGGAGACAATTAATCCCACATTCCATATCATCTTCTTTTTTCTCTGACTCACCTTTTTCCTGTTACCCCATTGTTGTGCCTTGGAGGGCCACTTCCAGGTCTTAACACCCCGGGTGCTACCTACACTGCTCACTGCCATTAGTCAATTCTGACTCATAGTGACCCTGAATTGGGTTTCTGAAGCCATACATCTTTATGAGAGTAGAAAGCCTCATCTTTCTCCCATGGAGCTGCTGGTGGGTTTGAACTGCTGTCCTTGTAGTTAGCAGTCCAGTGTTTATTCTGCAGTGCCCACACCACCCCAGGTAATACACAACGAACTAGAAAGTAGAACAGAAGCATTGAACACATTATTAGGCCAGTTAACTGAGATGTCCTAGGCACCCACGATCTTTAAGGAGAACCACAGTCCTGTGAGGCTTTTTGGTTGTACATAAACAGCCTTAGCAGCTGCTTCTCTGTTAAGGAGGGCATTGTAAGTATATACATTTCAAACTTTTGTCAACGCAGCTTTTTACACATGTACAGTTTACAGCAGTTGCATGATCTTCTGTGCAGCCCTGTCTTCAGTCAGGGTGATACTCCATTGCTACCAGGTCCCTGTTTTCTCTTCCTCCTATCCTGGTCATCACTAATAAACTTTGGCCTCCATGCATTTGCCTTTTCTTATCTTTTTAGAAAGTGAGGTCATATAATATTTGTACCTTTGTGAATTGACTTATTTCAGCCTACTGTCTCCAAGCTCCTTCTATATTGTAGCATGTACTAACTGAGCAGTATTTCAGTGTATGTATGGACCAGATCACGGCTTTCTTACAGAGCGGTTTTAGAGCCATTCTGACTAGACTGCTAGGTAGGGAGATGCTGCCATGTTCAGCCCATGTGAACATATCCCATAGTAACTCATAGCAACCCTGTATAGGGTTTCCTAGGAGCAGCTGGTGAGTTTGAACCACTGACCTTTAGGTTAGCAATCCAGTTCTTATCCGACAGCTGACTACACTTCTTGTCCTGCCTTAATTACTTAGGATCCTTGGAGACATTTTTGTACCTTCTTTTTACCAGTTAAAAGAATTCAGAACGTGGTAAAGAGTTACTTTTTTCTTAAGTTTCTAGTATTTTAGCATTCTAATTTAAGAAATGAATGCCATTCTTCCCAAAGTATGTATGGTTTGAGGGGCTGGCCATCATTAGATTGTACTTTCTCAGCACCATCATCTAGGTCTCCTTGCAAACTCTAAGGAAGGGAAGTGGACATTGTTGAGAAACACTAACTCTTACTTTCATGCCAAGAAAGTCCGAGTGTATTAATGCTTCTGTGTAATTGTACATTCTGTATGTTCTGGGGGGAAATTTCAGACATGCATTCTGTTGAGAATCCTGAGTTGACAGAGGGCTGCTGCTTTTGTACTTAACACATGTAGCATCACCTTGATTTGAATCTGTTTTTACTGTTAATTAAGTAGAAAGAGATTTAAAAAAAAAATTAAGTAAAAGTTCTGAAAATACTTGGAAGGGTAAAGAGCTCTTTAATAAAGCACTCTTCCTGAAGAAATACAGAGAAAGTTTGGAGTTCTCCATACCCTGGAACTCTTATCAAAGTCTTCCTATTTACTATATTCTGAAACAGTTGAGATATTTGTTTGTTTGTTAAGACATTTTGCCAACTCTGGTTCAGACAATGAAAGATAATTCCAGCTGAATTTCACACAGCACTGGCTCATTTACTGGAGCCTGCTTTTGCCTCAGTCTGGAAGTATTTGAGAACAAGAAAGGTTGACTCCTTTCATTATGAATCTATGGCTTAAGCGGTGTGCTGGCAAGAAAGGCTGGTAGTCATCTCTTAGATCCACTGTGTGTCATGTTATTCATGGGAAAGAATCACGTGATGAAGTAGATTCCCAAGTTGGATGTTCCTTTCCCAGGAGAAATAAGCATAAATATTAAGAATTAGTAATGGTAATGGATTGCTACTTGGCACTTACAGCTAAGAACAAGTATTTAGACATATGTGTTTATAGAAGTGATTTCAGCTAATATAAATAACCTTTAATGCACATTGAGAACAGCTGCTCTTTTGCTCAGGTTGAGAAACACACATTACTTACAAATACATGGATGTGGATTTAGTCATCTTATTACCATCATAAAGCCCTGTATGGAGGAGGGTGCTGCTGTAACACAAGTCACTGCCCCTCTGGGTTTCCGAGACTGTAAATCCTGTGTACCAGCTAGTAGCTTCTGCTTTCTGACCTTGTCCTTTTGCACCCCAACACTTAATCCACTCTGTCACAGGGGCACCTTTTAGCAGAAATACTATAAATGGTGGCTTTAACAAACAAATTTACTCTCTCCCAGTTTGGAAGGCTCGAAGTCTGAATTTAGAGTTGGCTCTGGAAGGAAGTCTTTTTCTCTCAGAGCTTTGATTCTAGGTGATTTCAGGTGTCCTTTTGTCTCTCTTGCCTCATTTCCACTTGTCTCTCTAATTAGCTTCGTTTTGTGTCTTTTATATCACAAACGAGATTAACTGAAGCTAGGCCTCACTAACTAAGAAAGCCCATTCCCAAAGGGGATTATGTTGTTCTTAAGTGCTGTCAAGTCAGTTTCAACTCATCGTGAACCCCATACAAAGTTTCTGAGATGTGACTGGTTGGGTTCGAACCACTAACCTTTCGTTTAGCAGTCCATTGCTTTTCTACAACACCTTACCACAGGCATAATGCTTAGAATTTACAACATATACAGGTTTCCTCCCTATGAATACTTGCATCAGCCAAAATAGCGTAAAGAAGCAATTACCATTAATTTATACGGCAAACATTTTTTGATGTTCTCAGACTCCAAAGTAATCTACCAAAACATACCAAATAGCACATAAAGCCTAGAAGAACATATGGTGCTCACAGACAGTGTAAAGTTATAGTGGCTTGATGCTGAAATGCTGAGTGTAGTTTTCATGGATGGAGCTTGGTGGCGGCACTTTCATTGCTGTGGGGATATGTGGCCTGTTTGTTTGTTACCATTTGGGAGCTCTGGTTGCAAAGAGGGTTACTTCCACTTAACCCTGGGGTCGGCCACTCCTCTAGAGAAAGATGACACTTTCTGCTCATGTAAAGACTTACTGTCTCGGAAACTTTATATAGGGTTTCGCTCAGTCTGAACCCATTCAATAGCACATGACAACAACAAAACTGTAGTTTGGATGAAACACTGTGTGGAATGTGTGCTGCCTTTTTAATGGCTTGTTGCTTTAATTTTGCTTTTTGCCATTTTTGTAAAAGTTAAAACCTCCTTGGAGATTTCTGTTAGCAAAAACAGGCATTCACGTAGGTCTTTCTTAAAAACCAATTGGAATAAAGTGAATGTTCAGAAAGCGGATACTTGTAGTTTGGGGGTGCATAATCTATAACAGAGGGTTGAATAATCCTTTTCATTAAAACCTTTAAATGACAGTTTTCAAAATTGAGGAAGCATATTTAACAAAATGTGATATTGCAATATTTATATCATAAATCCATAAAGTCTAATTTTATGTCCCTCCTAATCTTCCTCTGCACCCCCTTTACAGACTTGTTTCTCCAGAGCAGCCACCAAAGGCCAAGTTCCTAACCTTGGGGTCCAAATTCCGCTATAGTGGCCGCACCCAGGCTCAGAGCCGCCAGGCGAGCATCCTCATTGACAGGCCTGCACCGCATTTTGAGCGCACCTCTAGTAAACGAGCCTCCAGGAGTCTAGATGGAGGTGAGTACTTTCACAGATTCTGGATTCCATAATCAGTCTCTCTTCTGAGTTAAAAAAGATCTTACTGTAGCTTCCCACACTTGCCAGTATATGAGAGACTATTCACAACTGGTGTGGCACTGTGGGTTAATGCGCTAGACTGCGAAGTCGGCACTTCAAACTCACCAGATGCTCCTTGGGAAACCCTAAACAGGGTCACTGTGGGTCAGAACTGACTCATTGGTACTTAATAACAACAACATTCACACCTTCAAATGATTATTTTTCAGTGCAGTGTTTTAAAAAATAAATACAATGCATAATTTTTTAACGGGAAATAATTTTGTATTTGAACAATTAGAATTTTAATTATTTACATATTTGCAGTTTCATGTAAATTACACATGGAAATAGATATTATTTCTATTCCTATACGTCTTTCATTACCTTGTCCAATTTGGGATTAACAGGTTTTTTATAAATAAGCTAAAGTTAATTTTATGTTAGAATATTTTTATGAAGGACTTTATCTTTCTGCTTAGCAGAAAGTAATTGATTTAAATGACTTCTACCAGAAGAAATAGTTTTTGTAATCATTTTATGTAATCTCCAAGTATATTTTTAAATGGTAATATTATGTCATTGTGACTTTCCTGCTGTTTATCAGCAAAAAGCTTTTTGTTTGCTTGTTATTGTTGTGAAGTGCTGTCGAGTCATTTTCAACCCATAGCGACCCTGTATAGGGTTCCCAAGGAGCCATTGGTGAGCTTGAACCACCAACCTTGTGGCTCAAATGACTTGGCAGTCCAGTGCATTAGCCCACAGCACCACAATATTTTTATGACTTAATGGACTTAAACAATTTATTTTAAATAATTAGCTAAAAAAGCCCACATAGTTTCTCAGTTTAATTGTTTTTCATTGGTTTTATTTACTTTATGTACTTACAATAAACTTGAAAGAACATCTAGCCAGCTACAGAGAGATGTTTCCCAGGATTTAGTATTGAGCATTCCAGATGCTCCTTGGAAACCCTATACAAGGTCACTGTGAGTTGGAAGAGACTTGACAGCACTTCACATCAACAATGTTGGTGTTAATATGGGAAACCAAACCCCACTGCTGTTGTGTCACTTCCAGCCCATGGAGACCTGTAGGACAGAGTAGGAAAGTGGCCCCACAGGGTTCCTAAGTCATCGGTCTTTATGGAAGGAGACGTCTACATCTTTCTACATAGAGCAGTTGGTTGGTTCAAATTGCCAACTTTCTTTTAATGCTCAAGTGCTTTAACCACTGAGCCAATAGGGTTTCTTCTATAGCTATCACAGTATCTTTTAGTTCAACGACTGAGTACTTTTTCCAAGTAAATCTGACAAATTTTGCCAGCCCAAGTAAATAAACCTTGTTCCTTGACAAAGGTAACTGAAATAAGTGTTAAATAAATGCAGACACTCTTATTGCCCTGAGAGAAATCATTACTCTTTCCTGAATTACTGTCTGTTTTTCAGCTTTCATTTAAAAATATGACCTCTGTAATTTTTATGTTGCACATTTCAGTGTCTAAAGCCACCAGTAAACCAGTGCATTTTCTTTGAGGTATATGGACTGCGCTCAAGGAAACCACCATCTTGTATGCGCAGTTGGTGCAGAGGGTTATAGTATATCTGAAAACAGTGACTTTCTCAAGTTAAAAACAACAAACATGGCACAGTAATCCATTATATTTTCCCTCTGTGTTCTTGGCCACTGTAATCCATCAGATGAGCAAGTCATCAAAAGGATTATTGTGTTACTGTGAGAAATACGAGGCTTTTTATGCCAATGCATGACCAGACAGCTAGTGGACTCTTTGATAAGGGGTTACTTCCTTTTTTTTCAACGTAAAACCAGTCTGTAACCTGGTACTGAGCATCACTTTTGCCTGGACTCCCCATCAGTATACCTTTTTTTTGTTGAAATGCGTTGCATTTTTCTTTTTCTTGGTTACATTTTAAATAAGGATTGAATGATTTAAGTTACTTACTATCCCTCATTTTTGTTTGATAAAATAAATCTAGTAATTACATAAAAAGTAAACATCAGTGGGATATCCAAAGGGGTAAGTATCTTAATAAAAGTCTTTCTAGTACAACTAGCACTGTTAGATTGGAAAATCAAACCAAAAGAGAGGCAAATCAGTCATGTAAGAGAACTAGCAATCAGGATATATATGGGATCACAGAGGACAAATGATTTCCTGAAAATCTGACAAGTGGGGACATTGCTCAGTTATAGTTATCAGAGAAGAAAGGTCTGAAGAAACATTTCATTTGAATCTTAAAGATGAGAAGGAGGCAGCCAAGGGAAGACCAGGAGATAAAGCATTCCAGGTAGCAGCAACAACACATCTGAAGGGGGGATAAGGTCAAAGAAAGCTTGATGTACAATCTAGGAACAGAAATATGATCATTCTGCCTGGAACTTTGTAAATGATGGGGTGAGGGAGGCTGGGATCAGGTCAGACATGGTCTGTGGGTGCGATAGGAAATCACTGTATGGATGATTGTGTACGCACTTAGTAGCACAATCAGCAACTGGATAGGTGTAAGTTGCCTAAATATGAGTGTGGTATTTAGGGAAAAATAAATAAATAAAGATACTACTCCAAAAGAAAGAGGTTTGTACAGAGCAGGAGTGAGGAGTATGGATCATGGGGGTACTTGTGACAAGCGCATTAGAGGGTCTTGGCACCTCCTGAGTTCAGTGTGGTGAACTGTTCGCAGTCCCTGCCCTTTGGGAGATTGAGGCCTACAGGCCACTGTTAACTTAGCTCCCTTGGTGCATGGAACCAGAACCAACCACATGTATAGTGGACATGACCTCAGTTGCTGTTCATACACGAGCTACAGAGTGAAAAAGACTGTACCACCTGACAACAACTGTATCTTACTGAGAGCTGAGATGGTTTTACGTTGATCTGCAGTTGACAAAATTTCAGCACAATATTGGCTTTCCCTCGCCTGTTGGAACTAAAGAAGCCACATAAAGGCCAGGATTTGGTGTATTGGATTTACTGTAGCCCAAGGATTCAGTAAGGTTGGAAAAAGGAAGACTATTAAATATAAATACAGAAGTTTGTTCCCTAAAATCTAATTTGTCAAATTTTGAATGATGTGCAAATTAAAAGTGCTTTTATGGGGAAATTCTAATTCTTTAAAGTTTAATGAAGCAGATGAATTTTGTAATTGTTTAAGCACTTGTTAACAGTAGATATACCTAAAAGTAAGTTTAGGCAAGATCAAAGAGACCTAGAGAATTAAAATATTACTCACAAATTGTAATTTAAATAATTGCCCTGACTCTGATGGTTCAGCTGATCATAGAGCTCCCTCTAGTGGCGAATTTCCTAATTAGACTTATTTTTATTTTTAAGTACTCTCAAGTCAGTTTCAAGTTTGTATAGAGTTTCCCAGGAGTGGCTGGTGGGTTTGAACTACTGACCTTGTGGTTAGCAGTCCAGTGCTTCAAAAATCTGACTTGAAAGCTTGGGTATGCTGTTACTGATTAGTGCCTTTGAATCATTTCTGACTCAGCGACCTTGTATAGGGTTTCCAAGGAGTGGCTGGTGGGTTTGAACCGCCAACCTTGTTAGCAGTCTATAGTGCTTATCTTACAGCACCACACCAGGACTCCTGGGTATGGTTTAAACAAACAAACAAGCAAACAGATAAAAACCAACATCAACAACCCCCCAAACTCTTTGCCATCAAGTTGATTGTGGTGACCTCATATGTCACAGAGCAGAACTGCTCGATCGTGTTTTCTTGATTGTAATCTTTCCAGAAGAACCAAGCCTTTTTATCTTGTTGGGGGTGGGAGCAGGTATGTGAACTACCAACTTTCAGGTTAATGTTAAGTACTGTCGAGTTGATTCCCTCCCATTGCGAGCCTGTACAGGATTTCCAAGGAGTGGCTGATGACTTTGAACCGCCAATCTTGCTTATCCTACAGCACCACACCAGGACTCCTTTAGGTTAATAGTCTATACAAATCTGGGTATAGTTTAATGGGTTAAAATTCAGCGTAATAACGAGCTTGATAACAGTTTAAAAGTGAGCTTACTTTTCATGTTTGTTTTTTCAGAACTCAAGCACTGTTGTTTGTTATTGTTGATATACTGTGTATCCATCTATGTAAGATGAAAGCATTTTATAAAGTATTATATTTACATACCTGAAAGTAATTCACATTATAATTCCTTGCTAGCTTTGATTGGTGTTGTGGACCAAAGTCTCAGGAAGGATTTTTCTGGGCCTGCTGGGGAGGTGTCAGCATATGGCCCTGGACTTGTGAGTCCTGTCGGGGTACAAGATGGAGATGGCAGAAGAGAAGTCAGAAGCCCAACTAAAGCCCCACATTTGCAACTCACTGAAGGAAAGGTACGGTAAACCATTACAGTACATTATGTTAAGCCTGTATTTAGACAGGAGACTACCTGTTGGAATCTGTTGCTTCAGATATTAAATATCAACTCATTTAAAATTAGTTATTATGTGATTCCTATTGATGTGATCTCCTACTTTTCAAAAAATGTGTACATTCTTGGCTTATTTGAACCACGCTTTTTGTCTTGATTATTGATCTAAGGAAAATATTTCCACATAAATTATATTAAACAAGTGAATAATTAGCTGCCTTTTTTTTTTTTTTTTTTACAGTCTTGAAATTCATATGTTAAACCCCAAATTATAAAAATGGTGATTTAAAATGGTTTGATTTATTCTAAGTAAAATTTAGTATATCCTGTGTCTATATTCTTTAATTGTTAGTATGAATTTTATTGAAATAAGCACAGGTGATAGGCTTTATTAAAAAAATACTTTTGACAATCTATAACAGATAAAGAAATTCTAAATTCGTTTTGTGATTGGTTAATAAGAACATGGTTTGCTGGTTTTGTGGTCTTATTTCATAGACCCAGTACAAGAACTTAGGTTATATCTTCAATTTTGTCACTGTTATTTTTATGTTACTTTGATATCTTGGGCAAGATGTTGATTTGATGGAGGTTCGAATTCTTTGATCTGTTTTCAGTATCTTCACAAAGTAACATTTTCCCCCATCTAGCATTGGAAAGAAACAGAAGAAAAAACAAATGAAATTATCCTGTTAGTTTATGATGTTCTTTAAATACTAATTTTGAAAACATTAGAGACATACAACATGAAGTTATAAAGAACCTGCTAGATGAAGTAACTACCCAGTGCCTCCAGGAATTGGCGCTCTGAGAGACACTAATGCGCAGCGGGAAGGAGGCCTGGGGCCCAGAGCATCAGACAGCAGGTGGTATCAAGTCAGATGCATTCATTTGTTAAAGGATTATAAATATGGTATTAATAAGACTATTGGGTTGAAAATTACTGATTTTTTAAAGTAACATTGTTTTTTAAGAAGACACTCTGTTGGTGAAAGGGTGTCAAAATTGTTTTTATAATTCAGCAGTCTAATGAAGTAACTTAATTCTGAAACAGAATTCCTCAGCTTGTCTGAAAGTTTCTATCCCATTTTGCCTGGCTAACATTATATATCTGATTATTTAAAACAGAAACTTGCCTTAAGCCCAACAGAAATCCTAGTCCCATAAATGACTGGGTGCACTTGGCTTTTTGCTAATGTTTGACTGTACAGTAAGAATGTGATTTAAGTTTATAGGATCTGTGTGCTGCAGTTTGAAAATAGTAATTAAAGCAGCCAATCCCTATACATTTTATGTGATAGAAGTCGTCTTACTCTATAAATGGATCTTTTAACTTATTTTCTAACTGTATTGTAGTAATATGACCTCTATTTCAGAGTAAACGTTTTCACTAACTACCCATTTCTTCTCTCTTATTTCTGTCTTACATTTGTTTTTTGTTTTCTATGATGTACCTGTGATGTAATGCCATCTTCAATCATGGATCGGCTTTTGAGAGTAGCCCATTTTCATGTGCCCACCATCACCACTCATCCACTGTGCTTCATCCTGTTCCCCACATGTATTGCCAGGCCCAGAAATGGACCTGCTCTCCGACATTTCAGAGGAAGACCCCTTTGGGGAGGCAGATCAGATCACACTAGACAGCTTAGAGCTCAATTCCACAAGTGAAGCATCAGAGCAGGGTGACTCTGAAGTTGCCACACTTGATTCTGTCTTGCACCCTGTTTTGGCTCCTCCTCAAGCTGACTGTCCTTCTCCCCTCCACGAAAAGCCTCTTAAAGTGGAAGGCCACACAGATTCTGAGATTGGATCTTTTTCTTTGCACTTCTGCAAATGCTTGCCCTCACTTCTGGATGAAGATGGGTATCTTGCTTTCCCCAGCCTCCCCAATGTCTGGGTCTCCTTCCTTCCTCCTGACATTCAGCACTATGTTCCTATCACCTCCCCTTCATTCATTCCTTCCCTTATTCTCATCTTTGGATTACTACTCTCTGCTTCGCAGTCAGTTTCTTTTTCTCTCACCTTCTCCCTTCCTCTGGCTTTATCCCTCTGCTATCTGGAAGCTAAGGCATCTTCCTTTAATGTTTCTTGTGACTGTGACTCAAATGACAAAACAGAGGACGAGGAAGCAGTTGGTGGCACTCCTGCATAAGCTTTGATTTGTGAGGGCCAACAAAACTACATTTCCATCTCATATTTTTCCTAATGTAAGAGTGTAAATATGTGCATAAATTCTCCACTGATTATCCTAAAAAATAGTATGAGCTACACGTTCTCATAAACCATGTCTTTATAAAACATTTTACTGCATGAGAAGTTAAGTCTTAGGCCTTCCCTCTATTGATAGCCATTGACCAGGTCCCTACCTTCTCAGTAAAATTGTAGGATTATTTTATAAATACTTAGATCATGTTGCTATTAGGACCATTAAGTCCGTTTTGAGTGATGGTGGCCCCGTGTGACATTGTAGAACTGCCCCATAGGCGTTCCTAGGCTGTGATCTCTACAGAAACATCTCCCCAGGTCTTTCTGGGTGAGCTTGACTGGCCACCCTTTTAATTAGTAGCTGAGGGCCTACCCATGTGAAACCACAATAGGTTAAAAAAGGAGAACTGTGTTGCCTTTAACATTCATACCAAGTCTATTTTGTAGGCAAATGGTAATGCTGTTCCTTTAGGGTGGAAATGTCATTTTGATACAGAATTCATGATTCAGCGGACATAATTGTAATCCGTGTTAGTAGTGAACTCCTTTGTGTCGTTCTTTCTCTTGGTCAGATGCTTAGTGTATTAATCTTGTATTAATGGGGATGTATCTGTAAATGGTACTCGGTACTCCTCACAGTGGTAGGTTCTAATCTCTAGAAACTCTTGCTTCTCTATTATTTTGGTATTTGGGGACCAGATGGATTTTAGGTAGCATTAAAAAAAAAACAAAAAAACAACAACAAGAAACAAAATCTCTGCCCCCGTACAGACTGCATGTCTGAGACTGTACATACTCATGGGAGCAGTCAGCCTCATCTCTCTCCTGACGAGTGCCTGATGAGTTTGAACTGCTGATGCTGCAGTGAATGGCCTATAGCCTAGCTCACAGCAACAGCAATCATTGTCAGGTATTTTGTGAGAAAGTTGCTGTTTGTTTTCTTTAACAAATATGAAAAATGAAACCCAGCTTTTAAAAAAATTAGACCGTATAAGTTTTGAGGATGGGCCTCTGAGTGCTCATTTATTTTAAATTAAGTTGCTAGTTTGAGGATTTTTCACCCATGTATAGGACTTTTTTTACGCATACTACCTCTGTACAGTGAAGTCAGTGTCTACATGTTCAGTCTGGTTTTGATTGTTTTGCTAAATGCTTTCAGACTATTTAGTGTCTCAGATATTGTGAGCCCTATCAATACCTAGAATAAATCACACAATTTAGAGTAGACCTAAACAAAAAATGTGTGTGAAGTTAATGTTGTCTTCATATCATATATACATCATGAAGAAGTCATGATTCTTAAAATTTTACCTCAGGTCAACATTTTAGAGAATTTAATGTTGACCAAGAAATTGGAAGATGTTTCTTAAACAGATAGTATACGTGCCTCACTTTTTACGTCTCACAGAAAGATACCTTTAGTTCCCTGCTTAACCTTTTTAAAAAAGATTATAAATAGTTTAAAGAATGAAAAAGTGCTTTGGACTTCCAGATTTGACACTGTCATTTCAATAAAGAAGCAAAAGACTGTATCCTATGTGATCCTACCATGTATTGACATGTAAAGAGTTGATCTCCTTTCCTGGGGTACTAACCCACCCACTGCCATCAAGTCAAATCTGAGTCACCGCAGCGAGCTGCTAGGACAAAGTAGGCCTGCTCTTCAGGTTTTCTGAGGCTGTAAATCTTAATGGGAGCAGACGGCCTCCTCTTCTGTGACAGCAGGTGAGATCAAACTGCCAGCCATTCGGTTAGCAGCCCAACACTTAACCCATTTGTCACTGTGTACTTTTCTTTCTTACCAGTCACGTCTTTGAATCAATATGCAATTAAACTTACTGCCATTTAGTCTATTCTGACTACTAGTGACCCTATAGGTCATCGTACAACTGTTTCCGAGTTGTTGTTGTTAAGTGTCATTGAGTCGGTTCTGAGTTATCACGATTCTATATAGGGTTTCTGAGGAGCAGTTGGTGAGCTTGGACATCCAACCTTGCCATTCAAACCCACCTTGCAGTCCAGCACATTAACCCTCAGCAGTGCACCAGACTAGAACTTAATGGAAGCAGACAGCCTTCTCATTCTCTCACAGAGCGACTGATGGGTTTGAACCATCAACTTGGTGGTTAGCAGCATTACTTTTAAATACACACCCTTTTAATAGCAAAACAGTAGCAAAACCAATTTCCTTCCCTTACCTCCAAATGAAAACAAAATCTATGTTAAAAAGCGAAGTAACAGGGTGAACATTTACCCCCAATATAAAGCCCAGTCCACAATCTACATCATACTTTGCCCCATCATTCACTGATTTAGATGTTTCTGATGAGAACAGATTGAATGAATTTGGCCATTTTTGCACTCTCACATTTTTGTTCTTGAGTTAAAGCATTCAAAGGCAGAACATAGTCAGGGTACTGAGAGAGAAGGAAGCTCTCATTCTCCATTTCATTGCGTAGGGTCACCTCCATCCTGTATACAGCACATTAGGTAAAGGAAGACCACAGTGGCTTAATACTCTGCATCTTCTGAGGCCCAAACAATGAAGGTTGGTAATGCTAGTTCAACATTTAAGTTCAAGTATAGCTTCTTTGCACTGATGACTAGACTTCCTACTAACTCTCCACTTCTTTCTGGCCGTTTACTGTGTGACTTTTCAGGTGAAGATGGAAGAAGAAGAAACACAACTGGAGGAGATGGATTTTTTTCCCTCTTAAGTTAACTCTGGTGGCTGCTGCCTGCCATTGTTAGTATGTGTGGAGTGCGCTTTCAGGGTTTATTGTGTGAGTTTTGTTTGAGCTGTGGCTTTTAAGGTCTTAAGATTTTGATTCATCTTTTGTTTTAAAGTCTTAGATGATCAAATTCTGGGTCATTTCTGGTGCTTGCTAATGGATACATGTGCATTTATTTGCCTCCCCCCCCCCCCCGTGTGTGATTTAATTTCACAGAAGAGTTCCTTGAGAGTAGAAGGGGATAATATTTATGTCAGACATAGCAATTTAATGTTGGAGGTTTGTATAATCTAAGAAAACAATTCTGTCCTAATGGCTGCCAGGCTGCTGTGGACGGGAGGTCACGCACAGGCTGCCTGGCTGATTTTCTTCAAGCACAGTGCATGAAATGCATGGGGGAGAGTCCATTTGGTGGGAGTGCATGTTACCAGTTTGGCTTTGTTCTTTCAAAGTGGCTTAGGGAGGAACATACTTATGAATGAGAAGGTCTCACAGTGACAACTGGGGATAATTATTCTGTTTATCAAGTGGATAAAGTTTCTATCCATTAATCTTGAAATTGTTCTACAGATAAGCCTATTCTACCTGAATAGATTATCTCTAGAGTATAAAATCTGAAGTAACATGATCCCATTCTTAATATACATTAAACAGAAAGATATTTGTTCTTCTGTCATGAAATCTTCAGACTCTTGAATTGTAATCATATTCTTTTTTGTTTGTTTGTTGTTTTTTTAATTAGCAATGTGGTCTACTTAAAGTGTTCTGTTTGGGTATATGCTAATTGATGGGATTGTTTCAATTAAGGAGAAGGTGAAAATGCCACCCAATTAGAAATGTAAAATATACTCCCTGTGTCACAGGAACTTTTTTTCCCTTTCGGGTAGTATGCAGCTAAGTGGAGAACTGCAGTTCTCAGTAACCTGACTAATCTGTGTGGTTGCTTTTGGCAGCTTTCATAACTGTTAGAAATGTATTTTTTGCATAACATACTAAAATACTGTAAAGTGTAATACATAACATTGCTTTAAACAAATCCAAGAAATGTGCCTGATCTCAAGCCACAGTAATTTTTCCATGCCATGCAAAGATTTTTAGATTTTCATGAGTTTTTGCAAGTGGCAATAGGAGCTCATAGATGATCTATTATGCTTGTGCATGAATATGGAATATCTAATTTTATCAGATGCATGACTTGTGCCCCTGGGAGTGGGATAGAAGATAAAGTCCGCAGGTGGCTCCTAGGATTTTTTTTTTTTAATTATTATTATTATTTTTTTT